ATCCCCATCGATTATTGGACTGTTAACCCATAAAATGCAGAAAGAACACATTTGACTCGGTTGTTATAATAATCTACGAACTAAAAGTTACAACACACTTAGTTAGTTGTAGCTACCTCTAGTAGACCCTTATGGGAACTACGTAGGGCCTTAACTAGAGTAACCGGTAATACGTTCAACACTATGCGCATTTTGGGTGAAATCTGAGCAGCCAACCTTTGGTTGAGACGGTACTCATGCAGACTGGAGATATTCCAAAGAACAGTGATAACTATGATTCCTAGCTCTATCAACTTGTCACAGAAGGAACGATTTAACAAACAGAAGTTCTTTTTCGTTTCATACCACAGGCAGAGGTTAGAACCTGTCACGACGTTAAAAGTTTTTAAAAATGAGTGTCAGCCTATTGTGGCTTTTCTTTTAGATCAGGTAGTAACTTTTTCAGAGACATTGCAGGAAGGCTAAAAAGCTAGGTAGAAAATTTATATAGCTGTAAAGTACTGGTTCTCCCACCAAATTACTGACCCTCGCAGCTGACTCTTAGAATAAATCACGTCTGCACACACATCCAACTCTGAATTGTGGAGAATAGATAGGCAGAGAAACCTGAAATGAAATGATTATTCTGTTCTCAGTCGAAAGTTTGAAATCTGGAGGTGTTATTAAGATCACAGGGAACGTTCATCTGCTTGTAGATGAATTTTAGAACTGACATGTGATACTTTGAGCTATTGAAATAGCCTGTTTTGACCTTGATTGCAGCTACAGTTTCAAAGTTACTTTGCCGGTCGACCGAAATAAGGTTGAAGTGTTCGTTTTTTGTGGAAATATCCTTCCTAATTTTTGGCGAAGTTTTATTTGTAAAGATACGTGAACAAAAAAACTTGGTGTGTGCTTTCACTATTCGTGTATCAGTTGGAGACGAAATTTTATCTATAATATGAACATATATCCTGTCTTTCAAAGTCGGATCGTCCATTCATTTACAATTTGGGCATATATAGTTTGGAGCTGAATAGCTAACTGATCGTTGTAAGCGGTTTTTCCTATAATTATTACGTGCTAGCTTCTATTAAACCGTTTTGATGTTATATATGTTCATTGCTTAATGTATAGAACTACGCATTGATAAGTCTATATATATATATATTAAACGGACTGCATCAAAACACCTTTCATGTAAATATGCATATTTGTGTAAAGTTTAACACACGGGAAACTAAGTTCACTTATGTTCCATTAGCTAGACGCTAGTGCTTGTTTTCGTATTGTCAGTATTCAGAATGTTTATACGTAGATACTGTTAGAATTAGCTAATTAGTGATACGTAAAAGGCATTCCCCTGGAGTATCCTTGATATTTCGAAGTCACAATCTGGCCGCGGGCTAGTGAATTCTTATTTTCATTTTTATCCCTTGCATTCTGAGTGTAATACAGGGAATCAGTAGCACACATCCATTGCACTAGGGTACTAACTATCACTTTGAAATAGTTCCGCGACCATCCACAGGATTTAACGTCCTTCTCACGTGACCTCCGTATCACCTGACACCCAAGTCGTCGCTTCCCATTCGGGTTCCGTTAGAGGGCCTTGTATGTGATGTCATTTGACGATCTCTGAAGAGTATGTATATTTCATCTCTATCGATTGTGACGTGATGAGGTTGCCTATCTGTGGCGTCATCAGATAATCTTTTATACTAATCAAGGCGTACTCAAATTCCTGTATTCGTGTAAGAACTTGAAGAAAGTTATCATCTGAAGTGAGGTTGATCAGTGGTGTCCCTCAGGAATGTCCATTATTACCATTATTATTGAATCTCATTATAAAAGTGCTAATGGACGCGATCCTAGTCGACTTTAGTGATTAACTTGTTACATGGGAAAGTTTCTTTTGTCTATGTGATTCATATAATATAGTTTCTTCAGGCAAAGATGGTAGAAATGAAACTTTCAGCACTCCTTGATCAAAAATGTAAGTATTGTTGTAATACGATTGGATCTTATCAAATTTAAGAATGCTTATCTGTCTATATCGACTTAGCTTAGGGACAGTAAAATGGTTAAGAATGTTAACCTGTTTGCTAGTAAACTGATCGCAGACGAAATCTCAACATGTTTGCGAAATACTCTTTGGAATTTGCCAACTTACATCTTCGTTAGTGCAGTCGAGATTTCCGACTCTGTCAAAACACTGTGTATTGTGCGTCACTTCTCTCTGTCCTACCTCACGGCTGTGAGATATGGCCGTTGAAAGTGGAAGAAATAGGAAGAGAGCGAGTTTTAACCATAGGTTCCTTCGTTCAGTCTCAGATGGTAGATGGGGCAAAAGTGACAGGAATTATGGGGTTAGGTGTTGAGCATAAGACAAGGAAGAAAGATCAGTGGATTCAGTTTATGAAACTAAATCGATCCACAGGGTTATACATATTTTACCACCACCTTCCTCGGTTAGCTGACATACGACTAGGTAGGGAATGGTTGGTCGAATCAAAACTTGGTATCAACTCATGACGTCTTTGATTGTTGGTGTGAGCCACACACAAATAAATACTATATATTTGGGATTCTTGAGATGCATTTGTGCAAATGCATTCATCCCCTTTTATCATCCAGATTATGGACATCCTCATCAATCATCTAATTATTCCTTATTCAAATTATGTAAAGTACTCACCAGGACTAAACCTTTCGTTTACTTCTCTAGTTATTTTCCCTCCCTACATCTTCGTCCGTCAAAATTTCATTGCATTTATTTTCGGTTACTGCTGCATGTACTTGTTTGAAGTATGGATTGTGGCGACTCGAACTGCTGCACATCGGTGCAAAGTTCTCTGTTGAAACCAATCAGTCAGACTCATGTTATCCAAATTATCATGAATGGAAAACTGAGGTTTTAGCTGCCTGTCATTTCTACTTGTCATATAGTTGTTAATACCTCTGGAAGACATTTGGTTACCATAAAATGGTGTATAGAGTCATTGTTAGGTCTGTCGGTCGGTTTTCGACATAGAACTTTGCATATATGTGCGGCAGTTCATGTTGCCACACTCCATGTAGCACACCAAGCAAGAGAAGAAAGTAGAAGATATGCATAATAGAGACAGTAAACAGAGGTGTGAGACAAAGGAATAGTAATAACGGAGAACAAAACAGTTTCATTGGAAATCATAAGTCACAAGGAGTGGATGCATCTGCGCCAATGAGAACGATTTTGAGCCATGTCACCAATTGTTTCCAACCATTGGTTTTTACCGTCCCGAGGACCCCAACCATGAAGTCTACATCTTCCTACGTGGCTTAGGCTAACTGTTGTGGATTTCATTGACTGGTGCCATGTTTTCGTTTGACCGCCGCTAGCTCTTTTCCAGCCTGGCCCTATATCAGATAACATTGCCCGTCGAGGAAGGCGATGACTAGGCATTCGTAACACATGTCCTAACCATCTCAGTCGATGTAATTTCACAGTCTCGTTTATCGATTTCCCCTCCTTACCTAGCACTCGACGCCTAACCTCAATATTGCTCACCTTATCATACCACTTCACGCGGGAGATAGAACGCAGACACCTATGATCGAAGACAGCTAATCTTTTCATGTCTTCCACTCTCAATGGCCAGGTCTCAATCACAGCCATAAAGAAGGACGGAGCGGACTTCTGAGTAGTACACACGCCCTTTGGTCGATAGTCGGATATCACGTCTACGCCAGAGACGGCGTAAACTGGCATATGCGAAACTAGCCCTCTGTATTCGTGCTGAGATTTCGTCAGAGATCAACCCGTTGGTGCTGATGGTACTTCCCAAGTAAGTGAAGCGGTCGACGTGCTCTACCACTTCACTTCCTATTTCTAATCTAGGGGTCGGTGAAGTCCAATACTGCAGCATCATCTTACATTTTACAGGGGCGAATCGCATGCCAAACATACGAAGATTGTTGCTCAAGGTGTTCAGTAGACTCTGCATTTTGTCAGCGTCCTCGCCTAGAAGGACTATATCGTCCGCATATTCTAAGTCGACGAGATTATTCCCTGGTAGCAAGTGAATTCCTGAGTTTCTGAAGTGTGTTAGGGTTAAGACCATTAGTACGTCTATGATGAAGTTGAATAGGAATGGGGATAATGGGCATCCTTGACGGACGCCACTAGTCGTCACCACTTCGGATGACAACTCGCCATAAGCCCTCACCTGGCTGCATGAGTACGAGTAGAGTGCCTTAATCAGTGCAATGTATTTTCTCGGCATTCCCTTTACAGCCAAGCATCGCCAGAGAACCTCCCGGTCGACAGAATCGAATGCCGCCTTTAGGTCAAGAAATATAGTGATTGTCGGACGCCGGTAGGAATGCCTATGTTCTAGAATCTGTCGAAGGGTGAAGATATGATCAATACACCCTCTTCCTGGCCTAAAACCTGTCTGGTTTTCTCGTGTTTGTAATTGTTAGGTCTGTTAGTAGATAGCTTTCATAGCCCCATTCACAACACTAAACATTGTACTCTAATCAGTCAACTACGGATGCCAACGTTTATAGCTGGGGCGGATAATTCTTGTGCAGGAGCATATTATTGTATGTGTATTTTCTACTCGCAGACTGTCCTCAGATATGGAATGTATTACCTGTTACATTTAGATGCACTTTATGATGTGTGATTGTTAGTCTTTTTAGAAGCCCAATTTGTAATTAAAATCAAATGGTATCAACAGTCTTCAAAGGATAAATGTGACTTATAACCCAGTACCAGAATATAAATTCGCTGGTATCTTACTTGGTGTCCCATTATTGGTTCACTTATTCTCTTCTTTCCCGCTTGTTCTTATCTTTTTCAGATTCCTGTATTATTTAACCAGATTATCATTACCTAACCGGAATATGCTCTTCATAACATCAGAAAACAACAGCTCTTCAACGATTATAAATACTAAATTCTAGTAAATATAAACTAGTAGAGTGTTATTCACTGTGTCTGTGTGTGTGTGTCCGCGCGTGCGTGCATGTACCGTATGGAGAATGTGCTGAATTATATTGGTCTACTGACTTCTGGTTTATCACTGTCATTCATTCTCCTGCTATGCTTTTGTTGGAATAAAAAGCATAGGTAAGTTTAAGAATATTTTTACACTTGAGTACTAATCTAATCTTCCTCTCTATAGTTTACTGCCAAAACGTAGCAATTCAAACAGTAATGTTAGCATCAAGTCATTTCATCAGGTGAGTGTATAACACATGATTTTCTTGTTAAAGTCACTTATGTATTTATGATAGACGAATACTTTTTTCTTACAGGATTTCATCATGAGCTAACATCGGTTAGAGAACCACTGGAAAACCAGCTGGGAGTACTGGACAGCTGTTTCGCCCTAGTTTGTGAATCTTCAACAGTACGCACCCTCCGGTGGGCCATTGGATCGGGTTCCAGTGGTTTAATGGTCTACGAGTTCGCCTTGTAAGCAGAAGGTCCTGGCTTCGAACCCTGGTAGGTGCGTGCTGTTGAAGAGTCCCAAACTAGGGTGAAACAGCTGTGCAGTACTCCCAGCTGGTTTATGCTGGTTCTCTAACTAATGTCAATTCATGATGAAATCCCGTAACCAATCAATCAAATCCCTACAAACCAATACTTGAGTACTTTTTTGAATACTTAATAACTTGTTGATAACTTTTTGTTGGTTATGCGTCAATGTTTGAAATGTAGAATGCTTGCTAGCCATGCACACATGGTCCCGGTATTAGGTCCAGAAAAGAGGGGAAGTTGGCCACATGAAGTTAGCAATCTCACCCTGTAAAAACAATTCAGTTTATACTGAAACTTTAAAGATTAGAGCTTGAAACACAAAGGAATGAGCAAAACAACTTGTTGGCAGATCTTACCTTTTACTGTTTCTTCAGAGTCTGAACAGATTCATGGTGGTGATTTAATGATCATAATTACTGGTGAATGATGCTAAGATTCTTGAAATGAAATGGTTCAATCAAAATCTACCGTCAGTCCATGAATTCTTTAAATGTTCAGGGATGTATAGACTTCTTTATTGGGTTGCTAAAGCCGTTAAATTCCACTGGTTTGAGATATCTTGATGATTTGGCTGTGAATCGTTCTCAATGGGGCGCACGTGTATTCACTCTTCGTAAACTTTGAGATCTGCTAAATACTCATGTTTCTGCCAATTCACGACATAGCGCGACCATTTCACAATGTCTTCTTCGATGAGTTACTGCCTCATCTTCAACTTGCTGTCCAGTGATTCTCTAATTGATGTCAGCTCATGATGAAATCCTCCAACCAATCAAACAAAATCCCGACAAAACCAATACTTGGAAATACTCATGTTTCTCTATACTTCTGCTCTTGATAGTTCTTTCGAAGTTTTCTCATTCCTCCGCCTTTTTGCATTATATAGAGGGTGTAGCGAATTGATGTGCTGCACTTCTGTGCAAAGTTCTCTGTTGAAACTCAATTAGTCAGTGAGCTTCTCGCCTGTTCTCTTGTCTAGTTGACTTTACTGTTTGCAGGTTGTCGGTGTTGCATTGTAGAGTGACACATGATCACCCCAAGTCATGTATTCTTCTATATGTTGATTGCATAATCACAATATTCTAACCAATCGTAGCGATTAAAATTACATTTTCATAAATAAAATAAAATTTTTCAAGTCATGGAGAAGATTTGTAACTCAGAAGGATGTTTATTTCGGTGTAGTTGTATCCTCTGAGCAATATGGTTTAATTGCAAAAGTTTCGCTGTCTTTCTAGACAACATCTTCAGTGCTTATTTCAGTATAATGACAGCCAAGTCTTCTTTAGTTAACTCTATCAGCGAAAGGAAACTAACATTTATGACATGACTGTGACTACGTTGCTATTTCACCTATTCAAACCCAATTATCCGGGTCAGATATTTTGTGTACCAGGCTAAGAACCAGACTTATTGTATGAGGGCTAATGGTATTGCCCCCAGTTGGCCAGCCAGGCTGAAGTAGTAGGTGGAGCGGACTGAAAGTCGAACGCTTAAGCCAACGAACCCCATCACTTAGTAGATTTATGAATAAGTAAAAAAAGGGAGGCTATTTCCATTCAACCAATGTTAATTTATATTCTGTTTTAGAAAAACACTCATGGTGATCAAAAACGTCTTATCACTTGTCGACTGAAATGTCCCTTTCGAAGTGGTCGTAATCCGACTGTAGCTGATTTAACACCTGCTGCTGCTGCTGCTCGTACTTCTGGTGACATTACATCCTCCAATCATGTTATAATTAAAAATTCAAATCTATTCGACAATAATGAAGGCGATTTGGCGTATGCAACTACAATCGGATTAAGAGGTGGCTTGAATAATGCAGATATTATATCACCTGGTTACACTTTACTAAGGTAAGTGGTTTGTTTGTTTTTTTGTTTGCCTGGGAGGGAGGGAGTTGCCTGGGATTATAGTGAGGAGTCGTGATCAGGGAGAGGGGGGTCCATCACGTTGACTGACGATGTGACGGCGCCATATATCTATCTATGTTTATATACACACGTATATTTATATATAGTGATCAACGGACTTGCCTCATAACCTGAAGATCTTGGATACAATTCCAATTGAGTTCATTGGTATGTACTGCTGAAGAGTGTCAAACTAGGATGGAACTAAAGATTCAGTACTCCTTGGTTTACAATGGCTCTGTAACTAATGTGAGTTTGTGATCTATTTCTATTCGCATCTCATTGACACAATTTACACCAAATTGGTATTTTCTCATCTGGACTTACAATAACGTAATAAAATTATTTTGCATAGATATACCAGAGATACCAGAAGTTCAGCTTTCACTGTTCTGTACGAAGTGCCGACTTTTGTTCCTCCAGGTTTATATGCCTCGGATAGCTGATCATAATGGTTGAAGCAGTTAACATCAGAGTGTTTCACAATAAGTTTTTCTAGTCCCTTTCTCTCCCATTATGGTTTCACCATCGACCAACTCAGATACGCAACTAGAATGATTGTCTTTCTGGGTGACATTGGATAGCTGTAAATATTATCTTCCATTGTTTTCCATAATCGTTATCATTATCATATTTTGCTGACAGCTGTATATTTCTCTTAGCCTTAGCTTCAAAATTCAATGTATAACCGAAATATTCAATTAAATTAATTCAATCTGGATTTTCCTGTTGGGTGATTGGACCGAGGTGTTCAGCGTCTGTGTGTTTATATGTCGGCTTTTTTGTGTGGATGCTTCAACGGTGTCTCAGGATTTAGCCTGAAGTTACTTGGTGGATATTGACTAACAGTGGAGTCTAAGATGCACATTTCGTACCACTTGGGACTCATCAACTGGGTTTACCTGCATTCCACAGTCGATGAGTCCCAAAAAGGACGAAATGCACATCCTATATTCCACTGCTAGCTACCACCCACCAAATTACTTCGGAAAACTGTGTTGTCTAATTGTTAAGTCACAACAGTTATTTTCACCTCTATCCTAACACGCATACATAGTGAGTGTATTTACGTAACCATATTTACTGAGTACCTAGATTATCATGTAAGTATGGTGTTGTTTGGTTGATAATAGCTAAGGAGGAAATCTACAAAGCTCGTTTCGTCCTACTATTTGAGACTCTCCAAATGAATGTACCTACATCGCCAGTGAGTGATGACGTCCACCCAGTGAGACTCGAACCCAACACCAATCGTTTCAAGCAACAAAGCGTTATCCACTGGGCCAGAAGGGCTACCTGTTGTACATCTGGTATCAGTTGTTACTCGTTGAAATTATCATTATTTGGAAATCCTGTCTTGATCGGTTTCTTTTCAAGCGTTGGTTCGCAGTGATCTGATCTATTACAGGTTTGATCACGAGACGACATCAGCTGGAGAACCATTGGAAAACCAAGGAGTACCAGGCATAGTTTTGAACTCTTCATCAGTGTGTACCCACCGAGTTTCGAAGCTAGGGCCTTCCGTTTACAGGGCAAGCTCATAGACTGTCCAGCCATTGGGACACGATCCAATGACACATGGATTCCAGATTCTACTAGTTCGTGATACATATATATTGCAGCCACCAACAGCAGCCAACGTATTGGGTCAGAACCCTGGTGGAATCTTAACGCTTAAGAGTCTTAAACTAGTCAGCTGGTTTTCCAGTAGTCCTCTAACTGATATCATCTTGTAGTCGGCACCTGTAATTTGATGGATTTCATTGAACTGAGGCGTCCATTCTGTGCTGACATGTCTGCTCGTCGTACAGATGTTTTTTGAACAATACACATTCACGTTAACTAGGTGCTATTTGATCATCCATCATCATCATTGGCAATATACGAAAAGCAAAAATACAAACAAACAAACAATCAATCAACGCAAAATTCTAAATAACAATCTCAACAAATCACCAATGTACAAGTATTGGTTTGTGTATCAATGAGATGCTCACTGGTGACTGACCCTATTCAGGTAGTGGGAAGTCGTGACCAGTAGGGTGCAGCAGGTCAGGTGTGAGGACTAATACTCGCCGAAGGCATTGGCTAGCGGTTGCGCTATATCGCGAATTTGCAGAAGTTAGAATTCATGGGCTAGCCATTGGATCGGGTTCCAGTGGCTTAATGGTATACGAGCTCGCTAGCCTTGTAACCAGAAGGTCCTGGGTTCGAACCCTGGTGGTGTGTGCGTGCTGATGAAGAGTCTCAGACTAGGACGAAACAGCTGTCCAGTACTCCCAGCTGGTTTTCCAATGGTTCTCTAACCAATGTCAGCTCATGATGAAATCCTGTAACCAAATCACCAGTGTGTTTTGTAATTTGGGAATTTGTATGAGTCCGTTTGCATTGTGCTCTATCTTTCCTCGCCCAGAAATTATAAGGGAAGCCTTATTTTCAATGGGTAACACATCGCTAATGTTGATCATAACTGTATAATTTTAGGCCTTCCTTTTTGGCTTAGATCAATTCCTTTTTTGTTGTTGTTGCCGTTATTGAGATAGTTATAGTCTGCGTCGGTTGCTAGAATCCACACACACACACACGCACACCTTCATATACTGGCTTGCTGTCAAAATCAGGATGCCACATTTTGTTTATGCTCTGATAGAGTTCAGATTTGATAAAAAAAATTATGATTTATTTTATTTTTCCTTTTGAGAATATTGCGATTATATACATATATCAAATATACAGACGTGCTTAAGTGACGACTGTATAAATGCACATGAACAAAACCCTATATATACATATATATATATATATATATATATATACATGGGATGGCTTTTAATCTCCTTGAGTCGATTCAAAAATTGATTTTCTAAACAGAGAAACAGATTCAAGGTGAACTCCTGCAAAGCTATTTTTTCTCTTAAAACATTAGATGTGAAAAGAAGACACTAGGAGTTTAATGAGAAACATGAGGAAATGTTGCATCGGGTGGCACAGCAGTAGAATGTATGTGGTCCGGGGTTCGATCCCCGGCCACTGACGCACTCCTTTGCCTCGCTAACCCAGTAATTAGACTGGTAAAGAAGGAAGGCTATGCATGAGGCTAGCTAGCAACCCCATCACGTAAAAATAAAAACACCAATGCTACCGAAACTTCAAGCCTCTAGCTTGAAGCCGCCTATGTTCCACTGGGAAAGTATAGGAATAAATGAGGAAATGTGAGGAAAGAGAATGAAAGAGAGAAAGATACGTTACCTGATCACTATTAACTTTCATCATGAGCTGATATCAGTTAGAGAAGCATTGGAAAACCTGGGAGTATTGGACAGCTTTTTCATCCTAGTTGGGGTCATTGGATCGGGTCGCAGTGACTTAATGGTCTACGAGGTCGCCTTGTAACAGGAATGCCCTGGGTTCGAACCCCGGTGGGTTGATACTGTTGAGAAGTCCAAAACTATGCTGAATTAGTTGTACAGCACTCCCAGGTTTTCTAATGCTTCTCTAACCGATGTCAGCTCATGATGAAATCTCGTAACCAGTCGAATCCTTGCAAAGCAACACTTGAACATTTATTAACTTACTTCTAGCCTAATTGTAGTTGAGCCTATCGTGGTAATGTATATCTAGGGGGAGAAATGCATAACAGATGACTTAACCTTTTTAGTTGATAAAGGTTTATAACATTATAAGTTATGACTCATTTACCCCCGGAACAGGATGCGTGGGTGGTTCAGCGGTAGAACGCTGGTTAATCACGACACAGGTGGTCCGAGGTTCCATCTCCGGCTGCTGACGCACTCCTAGACCTCGCCAAGCTGGTAGTAAGACCAGTAAAGAGGGGAGGTTGGGCGTGAAGCTAGCAACCCTACCCCGTAAAAATAAAACCATTGTTGACGAAACTTCAGAGCTCAAGTTTGAAGCCCTATGTTCCACCAGGAACGTAAAAGAATAAAATAAAAGTCTATGAACAACAAAGAACTCTGGAAGGTAGCGAATCAACCAACAGCTTACTGCTCAACAAATATGCAGAAGTAAATGGAGATGAATTCAATATCGGCTGAGGAGATCGTTAAGGGATACCACATACTAGACCGTCTAGTGGAACCAAAGTGTTAAGCGATAAGTTGAACATTCTAAGGTAACGCATAGAGAAGATCATGTGAAGGGGGAAATGTAAGCTTCTAGGCAGTCAGTTATGGAGTTATCTGAAACAGTAAAATGGTTACGTGCCGCTGAGGCTCTGTGTTCCACCTTGGTACTTCTGATCCAGTTGCTTAAACTGATGTATGTAGACCATATAACCATTGTTGCTGAATGTCGGGTCATCAGAATAGCCTACTACAACTAATCTAGGTGCATTCCACGTGTTTGGCTAGAACTTACATCTGTTTTAGTCACCAAATTTGTACGTTTATGTGTTCCCCTGCCATACACACATAAACATCAAGAAGTAATACTTCTAATCTTTTGTTTGATTAACTTTACTGAGTTTCAAAATAGAACTTTGCACATTGGTGCAGTAGTTCAAGTTGCCACACCTCCATGTAGCACACAAAAGTAGAGAAAAGAACAGAGATTCAAAAATCTGTTAGAAGCAGAAATGTACGGAAGAAAGAATAGTTACATGAAGAAATATGTGGGTTTGATGATGCATGGATCTAGGAGATTACAAAGAGTGAATGCATCTGCGTCATTGATAACGATCTACACCTCCCTACGTGATTTAAACCAAACAACTATCAAAGACTTCATTGATTGATATCAGCTGCTGGTTTTTGGCGGCCACTCCCGTAACCCTTTTTCAACCGAATCGTATATCATGTATAATCTTTTGATTTGTCTGTTTTAAAAGAAAGCACTGATATCTGTTAGATGGTTGGAGGCAATCTGTCGAAATCTCCTTGACCTAGGTTTCGCGCATTATGATAATTTTCAGCAAGGTTTATCCG